GCAGCTGTCATCGGGGCGTGAAACTGGTTTTTGAATGACTTCTGCAGTCAATAATCCGACCTGCAAATGCTCCAGGTCGGATTACTAAAAGTGGATCATTTAGGCAACGGTCCAACAATGATTGCGGGGCTCTTACAGATGACCGTGACACACAATGCTGCAAAATTGGACCCAGAAGCAGAAAGCCGCGAAAGAGCGACACGTCATGTCGGCTCAGGCTGCGGTTCTTCCTGCGAAGACCTACCTGTAAATCCCCACCATCTGGGGTGTCATGATGAGGTTCTGAGCTCTGATCCGCTCTCCTCGGGCTTAATAGGGCAAGACCTGCCCCCTCCACACCCGAACAGTCGTTGGAGAACACAGAGAGGATTTACTCTTCATTACTTTGGCGGCTCGTTTGGTTTCCAGAGCAGTGGGATGTTTGGTTGGAACCCGGAACGGCTCTCGGGACTGGCTGCCGTCAGGTGTGATGCAAAGAGACATCCTGGGATTCCTCTTCTTACTCAGAGTGCAAAAGGGGCGCGTTCAGCGATGGGCCCGGCCCGGCTTCGCTTGATGTTGGAATTTTCTTCCAGCGTATTACGGAAAGAACAAATCCTCATTTGTCTTTTTCTTTCTGTCATATTTTGTGTCCCGAACCAGGAGGCTCATCATTACTTCAGTTCGTGGTGAGCACTTTTGGGGCAACATTACATTCTTGGGGCTTTTCATTTTTCCTCTGGGAACTTGACTAATTTCTTGAACAGCTCCTCTTGTGTAGTTCTTGATTTAGATGTGTGTCCATATTTGAAAGCACATGGCATGAAAAACAAAATAAAAATAAAGCATGTCTGGAACGGGAGTTTAAGAAAAGAAAACAAAAACTTGTCAAAAGTAACAAAGAGGTGAATATTTATTTGAGTCCTTTCCATTAGGCGCAACACGAAGCGAACATGACAACAGATTCATGTTGTTGAGGTTCAACTAAATCATGTGCCGTTTCTTTCTCTCGTTCTGAGGTCTCAGCTGATATGACCGTGACCTCGCTCTCGTACAACAAAAAACGTTCATGTAAAGTATAACAACATGCCAACGTATGAGGACAAATTACGACTTCAGTTCATGAAGCGTCTATTTCTCATTGTGAAAACATGGCAGGGGGGTAGTACGTGTGCAAATTTCACAGACAAAAGGGCTCCATTTGCTAAGGGAAGTGTTATTATAACATGGCTTCTGACTAATGTCAGCATTTACTGTCTCCTGTGTCTCCCTTGCAATATTTCTTGTAAACACCCAAGCTGTCACAAAGTCTGAGATGTTGCACATTCTTGATCATGTTCACTGGAAACAGAGAGAGGGAGAGAGCAGGAGAGAGGGGGGGGGAGGATGAATGAAAAAACAACGACAACTCTTCCCACTTGGTTGGACATCAAGAAAGTAACATTCTGGAAAGATGTTTGTGTTGAGGAAATCGTGGCGTGAATATTGACAGACTGGATGCCGTCTCCACAACGAACCGCATTTCTTTTCAGCAAGGAGCAGACAATGGTGATGCAGGAATGGCAAAGCAGGAAGCATGCCGAGGAGGACAGGAAAGAGGAAGCGCGAGCCGGAATAAACGCCGTTGAAAAAGATGGGCTGGGAGTTCCTTTCCTCTGACTTAAGATTCTGAGGCTAGAAATGGCATTCTTGCTGGACTTGAAAGCCAAATTGAGGCAGACTAAAATGTCTGACAGAAGGAATGACAAATGACATGCTTAAAAACGGGTGCATTTTGAGGCTGAATTCATCTTCTGCAAATGCAATCTTCATCAGAATTCCTTGTTTAGACGAGTGCGCGCATAGAAAATATGATTGTCAAGTCAAACTTTGACAAGAAATGCGTTGGTGACATTTTTGTTTTGTTTCTGAATGTCAAATGTCCGCTGGACTCGAACCATTTGAGCAGTTTTCATAACAAGAATGACGCCTTTTATGTCGGCTACAGTTGCCTTGGAGGCCACAATTGGGTTGTTTTTCTTGTCAAAATGAAGAGGTTCAAAAGTGAATCGCCGCTTGATCAACTAGTCACCGTTCGAACAATTTCACAAATCGCTCAGTGGAAAAAGAAACGTTTGTTTTCAAGGCGGCGACTTCTTCCCGTTCCAACAACTCCTCCTGCATCTTCGAAAAGCTCTTCAGGCCCAAACGGCAGGAAAGCAAAAGCATGCGGAGCAAGGTCACGGGCGCTCCTCCACTCCAGCGGGCAGGAAGTGGCGAGCGAGCACTGCAGTCTGTGGGACTTTGCCCATCCCAAACAGGAAGAACAAAGTGCAAGCTGGCAAAGACGCCGCCACGCCTCTTGGAGGAAAGACCGCGCTCTTGTTGAACGCCTTGGAGATGTCGCGCCAGCTGCGCTCTTGGCATCTGTCGATAATCATGGCGACGGCTAGGATATTGATTCGATGACACGACGCGGGTTCAAGTGATTCTCATTGAGGAAAACATACAAATGGACAAATGGGTTCACTTTCGTCAGTGATTGTGCTCTATTTACACAGCATCTCAGCTCGTGTGAAGTGAATTCCGCGACGGCCAATTTCAAACCACGTTTGAAATGATTTTGTAAATATCCCTCCCGAGTTCCATTTTTGTCAGCAAAATCGAAGCCGCAGATTTACCGCGCGTGTAGCGAGAACCCCTATGCGGGCGCTACGAGATACAAAGTACAGCCTGCGATAATGGAGCAAGACAGCACTGTTTTGTGGAGTGTAAATAGAGCAGCTAATTATTTTGTGAGCAGTGCTCATAAATCAGCCGCATCTTCATCAAAGCCCCGAGGCAGGGAGGCTCATCAATCACGTTAGTGCGGCGCAACACCAATTCAGCCATCTCGCGGCACTGAATTTGGGGCACGGGGCTGTGACACATTGTCAGGAGCGCAATCAGAACTTCTTTGGACAGGCCGACCCAAAGATGCTGAATGGCAAATGATTACGGAGGCACACAGCGGCGCAAAGTGGACCGGTGAGAAAACACGTCAAGGGAAAACGATTGGCTCCGCATTTCCTGTTAACTGAGCCGAAGGATGCCGAGAAGAAGTCGGCGGTGTCATTTCAAAATGGATGTTACATCGAGTCACGTTGATGACAAAAGGTGTCCTTTACAGCCCGCGCTCCTCGGTGGCCGCGCCCACCCTTTGTGACGGATGGCAAGGTCATCTCAAAGGTCACCCGTGACATTCCCAACGTCCCCGTTAAGGCGGGAGGGTGACAGATGGCATTTCAGAGAAAGCCTCGAGAAACGTGTGTCAGCGCTGAAGGATGTTTTTCACTTCTATTCCTTTGACTGGCCTATTTCAGAAACCTGCGTCCATTCAACACCTTGACGCCAGCACAAGTCATTAAGGTCACGGACGTGAGATCGACAGCAAGCACGTGACTTTTCAAGAGTCAAGAGATCTCCTGTGCTGCCATGTTTGAATCCAAGCGCACGATCTGCAGACAACAAGCGTTTGGCCAACGTGTCATCATATAACTCACGGAAGTGACAAAGGGTGTGGGGGGGCGGGGGCGGGGGAAATCCAACTGGGTCGAAAAACATTATAAAGTGTGTTTACCGATCGATAGTTTTCAGTCACATGATGGGGATTTGTTGGTCACTGAGGACATCACAAGCAAAAACGTATGTCGCCCGTGATCTTCGTCCAAACCTGCACTGGGACAGAACCGCTTGAAAATGACGAGGACGGACGGTGACGTAGGACGATTATGATATGAATAAGGACGGAGGGACGATGACGGAAGGGTGGCCAGGTGGTGGACGAAGGACGGACCGGCAAAATAGGCTCAAGTGCCCATATCTGGAAATGCCCATGTCGCTTGAGGCCTGTGCGAAGGCCAGGGTTGGTGAATCTGAAATCTGACTGGTTAAAAAAAACAAAACAAAAAAACAGTCATTGCTAATTGTGTGTGATGTGCAACTCGCAGTCTGAAAGCCCTGAGCTGATTACATTGGCATGACAACACACAGAAGCTGAAATCTGATATAGATCGATAGATGTGCGGTCAACAGAATAACTATGACATGTGTAAAACGAACTGTGGAAAATACACAACTGGTAATACTACATTATTGAAGTTGTATGTAGGTCGGTGCCTGTGATTGTGTTTAGCCCGGCAGAAAAGGCCGTGCAGTGGCTGTGCAACACTGCGTGAGAATGACTCATTACGTTTGCATGGCGGTTAAGATGCATGGAAGTCCCTCTCAGCTTCATTTATCATAGTGGAATGAGAAATTAAACACAAAGGTTCATTAACTCACTGCCGACGTAGTAAATCACATACTTGTGGGAGCTCTCCTCCCTGCTCAAGCCATTACGCTTCATCACAGGTTCTCAATTTGATGTCTTGCGTTCACGCTAAATGCCCCGTGTAATCGTACACTCTGATAGCAACCCGCTGCAGTCAATCAACATTATTGTGCCTTTTGATTATTTTGCACAGCTGTTTTCTTTGTTACAAGTACAATACAGCACTAACGCAGGCAGAAATGTTTGAACGGTTCGTTTAGACAATTGGATAACGGTCTGTTCCAGATGTGAGGAGCAACAATGGTCTTTTTTTTTGGTTCTCTTGAGCAGTCTACTCTGACTGTTCTTTAATTGTTAAGGCATACAAATCATAGAATTATTGAGACTCGCAGCCTACGAGCAATGACCGTGTGCCATTTTCTGTCAAGATTGCGACCACAGTAAACAACTAGAATTATGCTGCCCCCTATTGGTTATTTTATGGAAACACGAGAGTCAATTGACGGTGAGATTAAAATGTAGGCTACTTTCTCGCAGCTGGCAGGCAGCATGTTCTCGCTTGCACTTGCATGGTGATTGGAGCAAATGTGTTATGTGGCAGCCGTTCAGTACCCGGCAAGAGCATCCATCTTCCAAAAGGACGGTGATCCCCACGATCGAAAGTTTTGAACGGTAGGGATGAACAGTGCGCGCTCGAGGTTAATTTCCGAGCGCACCCAGTCAGGCACAGCCAGCCCAGACGCTGACGTCACGATGCTACGTTGGCCGGAAGTAACGACGTCGCTCAAGCATCAAGCTCACCAGCTGATAGCGACCAAAACAAACGAAAAGGCCGCAATATTATGACGACTCTTTCTTTTCGATGACTATGGTAGCCCACTCACGAAGTATCCACACTTCACCGAAGCTATCGGGATTCCCGCCTGTCCTTATCGCGAGCTCGGGACTAACGCTCCTCCACACCAGCTTTAGCTAGCTAGCTGTGTTGCGGTGTGTCAACAAATCGAGTCTTACTCAAACTGTTTTGTTGTCACGTTAGGGCGATCGATCGCTCAGAGCGACAATGCAGAGCAAGTTGAATCGGCCGTGCCTTGCTGGTTGATTTCTTTGGACATCCGCGTCACAACTTGGAGCTAGCTTTGTGGTCAAGATGAGTTGGTTCAACGCATCTCACCTGTCCACTTTCGCCAAACAAGCGCTAACGACGGCCCAGAAATCAATCGATCGTGTCCTGGACATTAAAGAAGAGAGCCAATGGAGTGACACGACGCTAATGCCTTATGAAGGTAGGTTTTACAGAACGGGCGTGTAGCATCTCACGTTAGCAGTGTGTTCAAGTGCACTTTTCTTTTTGTCAGATGTGACATTGCCTGAGAAGTTGTCATTAAGCGGTGGCTGGGGGATAACCCAGTGGGAAGCGCCACCTGAAGAAAAGGTTTCAGCTCCAGCTCCGTCTATGGCCATAACTACACCGGTCACCCGCACGGTTGTGGATGAATCCGAAAACTTTTTCAGTGCCTTCCTGCCACCTGGAGATGGTCAGTGCATCACCACATCCCAGGTAGTGTCCGTCCCCCCTGCTAAATCTCAGAGGCAGCCCCGGGCAAAAGAAAAGAATCGCAAAAATGCCGCGATGAAGGAAGAAGTGGAGACCCAAAAGATGGTGTCAGCTGATTCGAATCACCAATGTCAGACAGGTGGCGATGGCCAACTGGTGGCGCTGGGCTGCTCGCCCCAGGACACTATTCTTCCCGAGCCGGTTTCTCCGAGTGAAAACTGTGGTGACCTGACCTGCAGCCCAGATGACACCAAGACCAATACCAACAGAGGGAAACCTGACTCTGTCACCAAAGTTTCTGCCGACTCCAACGCAGAGTGGCCACAGATCCAAACGGAGTACCCTGTTGGGGGCAACCCCTCAGCTTCGTCTGAACCTGCTACAGTTTCTTCCGAATCCAAAGACGCCAAGAATTCCGATCCGCCAGCCTCCCAATCCTCCAAGGATGTACATTTAGAACAGAAGGATTTAAAAACGGAAGACCGCCAGAGTGACACCCCCTCCCCTCCCGTTAGTGCCTTCTCTTCAGGAACATCCACCACCAGTGACATTGAAGTCCTGGATCATGAGAGCGTACTGAGTGAGAGCTCAGCCAGCTCCAGACAAGAGACGGGAGAAGGAAAGGCGAGCCTTCATTTGATGCATGGCTCGTTCCAACTTCTTTCCACCTCCGCTTGTGGAGATTTCCCTCGCCTGGAAGACTATCCCAAGCTCACCGAGAGTTGCGGTTCCTCTTCGGATGCGTTTGAGCGCATCGATTCATTCAGTGTCCAGTCGCTGGACAGTCGCAGTGTCAGTGAGATCAACTCGGACGATGACATCCCCGGCAGTCGGACGCTGGCTTCCGTGACTTCGGCCGCTACGCTTTCGGCGGATGCTCCGTCAGACGACTGTGAGAAACAAGGAGGCGGACTGGCGGAGAGCACGAGCGAGCTCCAAGAAGAGAAGGAAGAGTATTTGACCGGAAGCGTGAGGAAGCAGTCTGTGGATGAGATGGAGGAGAGTGGACGGAGCGTGACGCCGGTGAATTGCGAACAACCCGAACAGCTGGCGGAGATTGAACACGATTCGGGGGCGGACGTCGCACAGTCCGATCCCAGCTCCGGGGCAGTCGAAGAGCTCCTTTCACCAATCGCCGAGGAGATGAAAGGTGTCTCAACACTTCAGGTTTGGGAGCTTCAAAAGGTGAGCTTCAAAAATAAAAGTATCATCTGTTTTTTTATTGGGGGGGGGGATAAAAAGTCCTTGAGTGAAAGAAAACCTTTCTGGTGCCAACGCAAATTTGTGCCGTTGTAGGTTATCAATGAGCTGTCGAGCCGCCTTGAAAAAAGAGAGGCTCAGCTGCTGGCGGTCAGCAAGGACAAGGCTGGACTGGAAGAACAGTGTGACAACCTTCGAGAGTGAGTATATGACATTTACCCCTCGAAATTTGGCGAAAGCTCCGAAACGGACGTTGTCCTCACTGATACACTAGCGTGTTCTCATCAATGACTCCTCTTTTTTTTTTTTTTTTTTTTTTTATTTAATATTCATTGTCAATTTTGCAGTGAGGCAAAACCGTCATTCAATTTCTAGTCTGTCATGGCAATGTCCATGAATGAGGCTCAATGAAATCTTTGCCCCCCAAATCCTGCGCACGCATTCGTCTGCAAAAGTGTCCATCTGCTGAGAATGAGCTTTGCGCCTCATGGGTGTATTCCCCCTCTGCCCGCAGTGACGTTCTAACGCTGAAGGAGGAGAGCTCCGCAGTTCAGTCCTTAAAGGATGAATTTACGCAGCGCATTGCAGATACTGAGAGGAAAGCGCAGCTGGCTTGCAAAGAGAGAGATATAGCCAAGAAGGTAATTTGGATTGGAGCTACCTCATGGAAATGCAACGACACACTTTGTTCCCAGCTCATGAAATAATGGCCGTATTCGTCAGGGGCGTCGCCAGCGGGTCCCAAGTGTTTGTTTCAAGGTTGGCATATCTTCGCAGGAAATCAAGGGCCTGCGAGAGGAGCTCGCCTCCAGACTCCACTCCAGCGTTTCGTTGGAGCTCATCAAAGAGAAGGAGGAACAGATCAGAGGCCTGCTGGAAGAGGGTAAGACGCAGCGTCAACGCCAAATGCAGCAAGTACAGTTTTGACACAGTCTGCTCAGTTGACTTCTACCTTGAGAGTTTTACTCTGACGAGCCCAAAACGTCAGCAGTCAACCGAAACCGGTGACCGCGCGATTCAGCACAAGGTGACTTACAGCTTTACGGTTTTAAGTCCCGCTCAAAAGGTAGGGCAGACGCGATCCGATCTTGTCTCGAATGAGTATTCGGTCGCATCCGTCCATCTGTCTTTACGGCTTCCTCCTCGTGAGAGAATAGAATGCAAATCGGCGCAATGAACAGCAACTCGAAAGGCGTGGCTGCGCGGGTGCCGGGGGTACTTGAGGCATTCTCTGCCTTTTGAGGGGGATGCTGCTCAGGAGTCATCAATTGCTGGCCTTGGCCTGTCTACGTTTCACTTTGTAGGTGAAAAGTTGTCCAAGCAACAGCTTCAGCACAGCAACATCATCAAGAAACTGCGCGCGAAGGAGAAGGACAGTGAGGCGAGACTCGCCAAGCAACAGAGGAAAATGAAGGACCTGGAGGAGGAGCTCGGGCAGCTGCGGCAGGTTAGCGCGCTGCAAAGATGGGTGACGCTTCTCAGCCCGTGGGAATGTTCTTTCTACGATACGAAGCAGGGCAGAACGGAAAAGACCCACAAGACTCTTGTGACCGCAATGAAATCTTTTCATGTCAAAAGGCAAATCAATCCAAACCAAATGTCTGATTGATTCTGAACCAAATACATCCAAAGGTGTGCGCGCGTAGATGCGGTGATGACTTCATTACTCGTACTCGGCTAAAGTTACAGGCCGCCTTTAAAGGCCCTCGAAGGACCCAGCCTGCGAATTGTCTTGGTTGAATTTGGGAACCACACAGAAGGTGTCAAAGCCTCGTCCAGAAGGAAAGCTGGGCTATTTTGCCGCCATCTTGTGGCATTGAGGCTCTTTTGGAAAGAGTACGCCAAACAGTGAATAGCTGTTTGGAGTTTTTCACTAAATAACCTACGATAGCTTCACCCCCAAATCTGTCAACAGGTGAATTTGTCAGTAGTTCATCGTGAACAGGCCGCGGAACTGTGGATTCACTTTTTTTTCCTTTCATTTTCTTCAACTGATGGATGGTTCTGCACGTCTGCAGACCGAACATGCCCTCGTTCATCATACAAAAGAAGTCAAAACAAAAATACTAATCGACCCGAGTTTGGAGAAACAATACGTGCTATTTGTCTTTTTTATGTAGTCCGTTTCTCGTGCCCGGGTTCCTTCAAATTCATTTTGACCGTCGAGATCAATATGGAATCAAATGAATGACCTTGAGGGAAAAACGGTGCTGTCGTAGTTTTTCCGATTTTGGAAACCGTCTTTAGGTTTTGGAGGGGAAGGAAGAAGTAGAGAAACAGCATCGAGACAACATCAAGAAGCTGAATTCTGCCGTCGAGCGTCAGGAGAAGGAGCAGAGCAGGCTGCAGACGGACTCGGAGGAGCTGCTGGAGAAGAACAGAAGTCTCCAGGCAGCTCTGGATAACTCTTACAAGTAAACGGCGGCTTCGTCTGATATTGATCTCATGGAAGCAATGACCACGGATGGGAATTAAGCCAAGAAATCGCGGGGAGGGTGTGTGTGTGTGTGTGGGGCGGGGGGGTCAACGCATGGGCCATGCTCCCGTTTGCTTGTCGTTCAGCTGCTTCTGAGATTCGTTTTCAGACTCGACGTGCACGTCAAAGATCGAATGCATTTTAGCTTCCGCGAGCCCAATACCCGGAAACATTTTGCGTGAGTGCCGCGTACGCATCTTGAACCTTTTTTTGTTTGCAGGGAGCTCGCAGAACTTCACAAAACTCACGCCAGCAGGGCCAGTGAGGCGGAAGAGGCGGCGCTGAGTCGGGAGATGAAGGCCAAGGAGCTGCAAAGCTTGGCCCTGGAGAAGGCCCAGGAGGAGGCCCGCATGCAGCAGGAGCTTCTGGCCAACCAGGTGACGCGCCGCCTTGTGCCGCAGACGCACAGTCCCGCATCGATGCCCGTTCGATCATTGGCTCGGTCGCTGCCGTGTCAGTGCTGACGAGCCGCCGTTTGAAATGAGATTGCATCTCCAATCGTTCTCGTTCATCGCACAGGACAGTCTCAGGGCAAGAGTTCTCACATGTCCCAGGGAAAGTCGTGTCGCTTATCTGCCCGGTTTTCCTCCTGTCCTTTGTGCCCCGGGTAAAGGGGATGAGCCCTCGAGGGCTTCAAGTGCCACTGCTCATTCGGTAACTCTCGACGCGGCGTGCAGGTGGGTGACCTGAGATTGGCGCTTCAGAGGGCGGAGCAACAGCAGGCGAGGAAAGAAGATTATTTGAGGGAGGAGATCAGCGAATTGCAACAGGTAACGCCGTCGTCTTGGCTCTCGTTCCCCAACTCCAGCTGTCCCGCGAGACCACTTTTTTTTCCGCGCGGGCTTTTTTCTTCCATCCTTCCGCAGAGGCTCCAGGAGGCGGAGTCGAGGAACCAGGAGCTCAGCGAAAGCGTGACTTCAGCAACGAGGCCCCTGTTGCGTCAAATTGAGAACCTGCAGGCCTCGCTGGGTGGACAAACGGCATCCTGGGAAAAACTGGAACAGAGCATCTCCGATCGGCTTGGTAAGAGCCGAATGTTTTTCTGACCTTATTGTGAAAGTGTCATCGACGTATAGATGCCTTGTATTGTATTGTCCTGTTTTGCTGTCTCTGTTTGCCCTGAATGTCACACTCGTGAGAACGACCCCGTCATACTAACTCGCTAACAAACCCACCGTCATATTGTGGAGTGTCTGTGAGCGCGAGATGACGGGACGGGTGCGTAGATTGATGGTCGGTTACTTTCTTCCGCCACTATTGCCTTGACGGTGAACGACAACAACAGATGCGGCACGCAGAGCAAAAAGCGCTTTTGTCCTAAAACCACCACCTCTTGCTCTCCTCTCGTACTGTCTGTCAGTCGAAGCCCAGGCGCAACTCGCCGCCGCAGTCGAGAAGGAACGCGCGGCCACAGAAGACTTGCTCTCCGTTAAGTGCCAGTTGGCCTCGCTCGAGTCCCAGAATTCGCTTCTTCGCCAGGAGAAGGTTCGGCTCCTGGCACTCGCGGAGGCTGAGAAGAGCAGAAGAGAGAGATTGGAAGATGAAAGCAGCAGGTAGTCAAGTGCCCGTTAAAAACGTTCAAACCTACGAGGTTGACCGTCAATTCATCCACTCAGCAGCAGCAGCATCATCATCATAACTACATCTCGACAACTCGGTGGGGGTTTTAGGAGCACGTACTTTGAAATGTTGATCTGCATCCAAAATGGTCTCAAGTAGGCCAATGGGAGCCAGTTGCCGAAAAAGAAACCACCACATGAACACATCCAACTCATTTGGTTGCAAACCAAATCGAACGATGACCGTCGTGTCATGCGATTTCTCCGTTTTTTTTCAAAATGATGGGTGGAATCAACTCCAAAATTTTCGCCGATCTCTCGTGCCTTACTTCACCATAGGGAGCGTATCGAGTTGGAAAATCTGCGAGGCCAACACAGCCGCGTGCTTGAAGAGGCAAAGAAAGAAAAGGTATCGCTTTGCTCCCTGCGCTTTGTTGCTGTTGTACTCGACGAGATGTCTTCCTTCCTCAAAGTTGCCGTC